ACGCCTTCGTATTTTTGAGAAGCGGCAGTATGGGAAGTTTGGCGAGAAGGCTGGCACGGTGGATCCGGGTGGCTGTATTCTGGAGGAACCAGGCGTGGGCACGAGCAATCCCCAGTAGTTGACATAGAGCTTTTCCCACCCTAGCTCTGTCATCAACCTCAGGGATAACGAGCACATCCGTGGAATAAGTCGAGCTAAATCTGGCCCACTTGGTAGCACAGTGTGATGGCTCCGAAGGTGAATGCTCCATCTCGGTAGCAGGAGGAGGGACCCGAGAAATGGTGACATGATCAAGTCCATGAATCTCCTCCTCCGAAACATCATCGTCCCACTGGAGAGCATCATCTTCCTCTTCGGTCTCACACATGTGCATCGGAAAACACGTTTGGGCACCAATCATAAAATGAGAGTTGTAGACTTTTGACTCGATAGAGTCGAGACGTGCTGTTAGATTTTCCATTTGAGCACTCAATCGAGTACACCGGAGCTCAATCTCTCCTTCTCGGTTTGCTCGGGCCTTCATCCATTCGAGGATGAGGTCAAGCTTCACATTGTACCCCGAAGAGTCATCCCCGAGCTCATTGAAGTGCAAGGGTGCTGGGCAGGGGTCCACAACCTTGGGATCATCGGCCTGGGACTCGATAGAGTCGATGCACCTTGCCAGATTCTCCACTTGCTCGCTCAAACGGGCACATCTGAGCTCAATCTTCTCCTGTCGTTTTACTAGGGCCATCAATCGATCTAGGATGAGATCAAGTTTGGCATTGTAGGTGGCCTCTTCTTCTCGAGCTGATTTGGACTCTATGAAATCAAGAATCTGGTCGAGCTTCTCGTTAAACTCGTGGGACTCATAAGTTTGCTCAACCGGAAAATAGTGCTAGCACTGCTCAGAAGAGTACGGATAAGATTGGGTGTGGTACCCGGCGGAATAGCTCGGCTCATTGTTCCAAGAGGGGTAGTGCAGAGAGGAGTACACGTGATTGAAGTTCATATTACCTACACACCATAACAGAACAACCACACGTAGCCACGAAAAAGAGAAGAAAACAAAAACAAAAACAAAAACAAAAGAGAAAACAAAGATGCAAAGAAAGAACAAAAACTCTAAAAATACAAAAATAAAGAGAAACACAGAAAATAAGATCAACACTAAAACTAAATATCCTACTTGCCTTCCCCGGCAACGGCGCCAAATTTGTTGTGTACAAATTGTTATTTTTACCGAGTACCGAATCGAAGGATTCGTTCTCCGGGTCGATCTCACAAGGAAGGCAGTTCGGAATTTAGCTTCGGTATTGATTTCACACAAAAAGAAAATAAAATTCTAAACACTCTAATCAAATAAGGGGGGTTGAATAATTATTAACTAAGAAATAAAATAAACAATAATCTACCTAAAAATATAAACAAAACAACGATAAAGAAGCTAGGGAGTCGGGGATAATTAATTCAAGTTCTATTTGCACACTAGGACATTAATCATTCTATTCTAGATTGACGCTCTCGCTTAAGCATCTAGCGGTTCGCTCCCAATAACTCTTCGTAACAAGGGATTGAACATAGGCGAACAAACTTGAGCATACGACACAGGCCAATTATCCCAATCCCAATAACTATTCGTAACAAGGGACGAGTCATCGACAAGCACGTATTTCAATCCAAAACCTATTGACTATTCAATTACGAAATCATCTACCTCATGCGAGCCTAAGTCTACGACTTCTTTTCTTTCGGTTCTAAAAGTCGCTAATTAAATTAGAAGAGAGTTAATCGACTAATCATATGGAATCAACAAAACCCTAACTCGACTAATCAACATTCAATTGTTTCCAATTGCAAGATCGAAGTGTCACTATTCGATAATATCAATCAATCAAACAAGATTTCATCAATTCGTAATCAAACAAACGTACAAGAACGAACAATTCAAGCCCGACAAATACACGTTAAACGAGAACAATCATCCCCTATCCGTAGCAATAAGAATTAGCTAAGTAATATCAATACAACACAATCCATCATCTCTCTCAATTCAACCATTATTCATGAATTAAAAATAAAGAGAAGAACTTACAATAAATCGCAATTCCAAGTGTTGAATTTGAATTACAAGCTTAATCCTTGAATACTAATAAAAAGAAGAAGAAAATTGGAAAAGAAAGATGAAGAGAAGAGGAAAAGCGAAGAAGAAGAAGAAGCAGAAGAGGAGGAATGAGAGGAAGGAGAAGAGGAAGAAGAAGGAGAAAAATGAAGGGGGGAGGTGATTTTCAGACCTATGGTTCCTCCCCCTTCGAGCTGATGGTGAAAGAATGGAGAAGAAAATGAGTTTTTGTGGTTCTTATACCATTCTGGGACTTGCAGGGGGCCTTAGCGCCGCTAAGGGGGGTTAGCGCCGCTAAGGTACCTTAGCCGTTCGAGCCAGTACCGTGTAGCGCCGCTATCCTGTGTGCCTTAGCAAGGCTCTGGCAGCCTGCTGGACATTGCTTCTCGGGTTCGTTTGGGCTCGTCCGAACTCAAAATTGAGTTCCGTTTTTTCCTACGCATCGCTAACGAACCCTCTATTCAATGATGCTTGAATGGCCAAATTATTCTTGAAGTCCAATTCTCTCAAAGCTTATGACCAGCTCACCAAAGACGTGCTTCGTGGACTTTGCGTTTTGGGCCCGTTTGGACTCGTCCAAGCTCGAAATTGAGCTCCGCTTCTTCCTATATATCGCCAACAAACCTGTCTATGCAACCATGATTGCCCGTTCAATTTTCGGACAAAATCTCTTCCTCACAGGGCTTCCAGCCTGCACACCAAAAACAAGAAGAAAAAAAAAATAGAAAAACACACAAAAACACATAGAAGACCAAAATAGAGTAAAACACAAAATAAACTACAAAAACGACCAAAAACCAACTAAAAGACCTAAAACAGGGGAAAAAAAAAAGACAAAATAATGACGAAAAACGCAACAAAAATAGGACAAAAAGTAGTATAAGTTAGGTATATTTTCCCTATATAAACAATGTAGGACAACTCAAAAGTGATATATTCTAATAAATCTTTATCATACACTAGTACTCGATCATGTGTACACGCACAGATAAAAATAAAAGTATTATAATACATATGTATGGATATTTTATTTAAAATTATAAGTTCAATAATGAAATATCACATTTTATAGATTTGATCATTATTAAAAATAAACAATATAATTATATATAAATTATTTATTTATCTATGAGTCACTATATAAATTGTATACAAAATGTAATAAATAATTCATTTTTTTTAAAAATGTAAGAGATTATGACCAATAAATTAGTTGATTTTTTTTAAAAAAATTATTATCCTTATTATAAAAATGTTTACACGATTTTAAGGACTTGCTCCGTCATTAAAACTAATTAGCTATTTAAAAAGTAGCTTGTTGGATAAAAATAACAATATTATATTAGTTTAAAATAAAAATATTCAGAAGCGAAAAAAATCTATTTTATTTTTTATAAGTGTCTAACTCCCATAAACCTTCGAGTGTTATATAATCTGTTAATATTATTAGTAATTATTATATGATAGATATGTTCAAAAATATTGTTACACTAAAGTAATGCAAAATGTAACGGTTATTTTCACAATTAAATAAAAATAAAGCAAAAAATTAGGGTATAGACATTAATTGAATACCTAAAATTATATATATACATTATTCACCTGCCCACAAGCTCAAAAGGTGAATTCAAAATTGTTTACTTTGTAAAATCAAATCCGTAGATTTTTATTAGCTAATATACAATTTTGAACCAAAAAATAAGAAAAATTACATTATAGGATGTTGACCAACGGATTTGATCAAATAATAACACTAGATTAGTGTTAGCAATAAGGTATTTAATCTATTTTAGTTCGAAACAATATACAAGATTTACGAGAAAATAAGTTAAAATGAGATCCGATATTGCGATAATGAGCTCGAGTAATTTTATGAACTATTTTATAATTGATTCCTAGGACTATTTATAGTAAGGATGACCCTGGTCATTTGGCACTTCAATCAAACATTAAATAGAAATGACACGCATTTAATGCGACACGTGACTCTATAAGGCTATGACACGTAGGTTGACAGGCTTTTGGTAGGAGTGTCCCATCATTTCATCATTTGGCTACAATTTGCTATTATTTAATATTTTTCGCCGCCTTAGTGCGTTCGGCTCGGGTCTCCAATATCAACTTTTGAACTCGGTTCATCTAAGTCTTGAGCTCGGTTCTGGGGTTGATAATTTTGGGTCGTTTGGATAAAAAGAGGGTATCGTTTGTGTTTGTCAATCGTCCCCAACGAACCCTTCTGAACTTATAGCATGCAACTTTAAGATCATGTATCGTTTGGATAATTCTAACATTTGTCAACAACAAAATGTTTTGCGAATTTAATAATCTGAGTTATTTAAACTCAATTGTTTCAAACATACATTTTCCACAAATACAACTTAATATTAATTTTTCATTCACCTTAAAATGATATTGAAATTTTTTAAGTCTTCCACTTACAAAAATTAAAACCGTTAAATCGTTACAAAACTAATTTTTCTTGCTGTAAAACCTAATTATAGTAATATTTAAATAAAAATACATACTAATATAGTAAAATGTTTAGTGTAACAGTCGCCATGTAATTTACCTTTTTTGTCATACAACGTTATTCTCCAAATTTTTTATCCAAATATTCCCCAACACTTAATTAACCTACTTCAATTAAAAATTTAAAAATTAGAAAATCCCCACAAAAACCGTCACGCGAACTCGTGCAACTGGGCTTTGAATTCGACTCTTATAAAACACACAACTGAGGCGTTTTCTTACCAACCAAAGAAAACTTTAACAAAATTTATGCAAAACTCAAAAAAGATCCCAAATGCACTTTGATTAAATATTCCCATGCTTTCTTCTTAATAATTCAACTCTCTACCAAATCTCTCTCTCTCACCAAGAACCAAGAGAAGTCTCAACAATGGAGATTAACTCAAATTCACTCCAAGAAAACCAAAACCCATCCGCCAACAGCTCCGCCGCCGGAAACTCCCCGAACCGCCGCACGCCGCCGCCGCAGCCCATACCCATAACGAGATCCGACCCGAACAACCCGTACCCGACAACCTTCGTCCAGGCCGATACCTCGTCCTTCAAGCAGGTGGTCCAAATGCTGACCGGGTCGACCGAGACCACCGCCCGGCCCGAACCGTCCCGAAGCCCGATACCTCCCCTAAAGACGGGGCTCCGGAAGGACCACAAATCCGGCAACTCGAAGCTCTACGAGCGGCGGCACAGCTTCAAGAACTTCAAGATCAGCCCGCTGGCTTCCGGGCCGGTCAACGGCAGGCCCGGATTGTATTCCGGGCTCGCGGGCTCGCCCCGGCACGCGGCGCCGGAGATTCTTTCTCCGAGCATCCTCGATTTCCCGTCGCTGGCGCTGAGCCCGGTCACTCCCCTCACGCGCGACCCGTTCAACCGGGTCGGATCCGCCGGGAACTTTAATTTGGCGGCGGAGGATAAGGCGATTAGGGAAAAGGGGTTCTATCTACACCCGTCGCCGGCGAATACTCCGAGGGAATCGGAGCCCCGGCTTTTGCCTTTGTTTCCGGTGACGTCACCCAAATTCGCGGGCTCATCTGCTGCCAATGCTTGAGTGAGCCTTACTATTATTTACCATTTTTTTTTTAAATTTTTTCCCCATTTATTAGTGGTTTTTTATATTATTATAAATTTATAATTCTAAAGTATGTGTAAAAGCCACTAATTTATGTGTGAGTGTGAGTGATGAGGCAAAGCATGTGCTTCGTGAGACAACATGTTGTGTAATTAACGTGTAATTGGGAAAAGAATAAGTTCAGAAAAAACACATATTTTGCTTCAGGTCTATGGATTATTATTAGTTATGGTGACATTTAATTAATTACCAATGTTTTATTCCGAAATGTGTTAACAATGTTGTTACCTTAGATCCACAAAAGATTTTACTTTGTTTTGGACCGTTCGAAATTGGTGATAATTTCTTCAATTATGATTCGATTAATTACATTATTGTTATTATTTTGTTGCATTCTATATTTTTACTGCTTTAGATTATATTTTTATTTAATTACCTGAACCAACAAAGAGCATTGTTGTGAAATAAAATAAATTTTTTTATTTATATTTTTCTTGACTTTGTTTAAGGAAAAAGTTTATGAGAAAATGGTTATTAGTTGTGAGTGGAAGAGTAAAAGGAGGGGCAAAGAATGTTGACTCATTTGTTGTTGGGATAGATGCGAATTGAGGCCATAGTATTATAGGCTGTCACGGGTTTTCTAAATTCCATCAAATTCACACTGGATGCGTCTGGAAATAAGCTTTCTCAGCTAAAATTAATGGTTTGAATAATAGTAGTAATAATAATTGGAATTATTATGGTCAGATACTATACTTGAGATGTTAAGTTTAAATAAATTAATGTTAAACTTTTTTTTTTCTCAAATTCCCGTAATAATAATGAAAAGGCTCCAAATAGGATTGAAATTTATATATATATATAGTAGTTTCTTGTATTTTTACTATTAATTATAGATAAATAATTTATAACAAATTAATTAAATATTGGTAATATATATTTAATAAAGATTATATTTAGTATGTTTAAAGGTCGGCAACTGAAGGAATTGTACATTTGTTATTTCAAATTAATGATTCTTGTTAAGTTAATAATTTAATTATTCACAAAAATTCATCATATAAATCAATATTTTAAATTACTAAAATCAGCTACCAAACATTTACTAAGCAATCTTATACAATCATCTAACTGATTAATTTAGCTTATATTATAAATTATCCGCTATCAACACATACTACAATTATTAGTATTCGACGATCCATTAACCCTAATTACCAAACCAGTTCTATAAAAGTGGGTGTTTAAAAAAGTTTCCAATATTTCTTGATTTAAAATGAACAAGAAAAAAAAAAATCTTAATTGATGAACTTATAGAAAGAGGCCCTTGAATTTTGAACAGTTAAAAATATTTTGAACATTAATTAAAAATATTTAAATATTTTATGAACTTCAATTCATGTGTGAAAAATAAAAGATCTAATTTTGAACAGTTCAGCACTTGAATTTGTACGGTGAAAACACCCTTGAATTTTCTTTGTTTGGTTGGAAAATTGATGAGAAAAGGATTGGGGCATCTTGACTTTTACTCCATGTTTGGTGGGAAGAAAATGAAAAACATGAGAGAGCGACCCTTCTATTATGGCTGCAAGTTCGAAAATACCCTTGAATTTTTTACTAGTTTAATTATAGAAAGAGGCCCAACTCTTCCAGAATTAAACAAATCCTGATATGTAGTTGTACTTCACAAATTGCACCCTTTTCGGAATATATGCTGCGTTATGAAAATAAAA